AGGTTTAGTGTATTGACGTACATAAAGTGCTTGGTACATAGTAACTAATGCCTTGCAGTGTTGACCGCTTTTAGAAGTCGCTAATAGAAAGGATGTGAAAAACACAATGAACTAGGCATTAAAATACACCTGCCACAGCTTAAAGGAGGGGGAGTCTTCCTTGTGCTAGGGTGTGTGGGAAGACACTGGAAGATGTCTTTTGAGCCATTCCCCAGTTTCAGTAAGTTTAAGGAGAGAGAGAGACTCAGGGACTCTAGGCGGAGGGCACCAGGGGCAGGAAGTGTGCAATAGCTTGTGTTAGAGGAGTCCAGTGTGACCAGCGGGGCTGGCCATCTGCAAGCCCCTGGACCAGAGGAGCCTCCAGAAGTGCTGCCCAGCCTGGTGGGTTTCATGTTAAAACCTTGTAAGCTTTGCCTTTACCGGCCGTTGCTACCACTCCGTATGCTTAGACCCATTCATTTTTTGTTTGCTAGATGCCTAGACTCTGAAGGCATTTATGTTTACAAACCTCCCTTAGACTGTCAAAGGGGCTGGGTGTGAAAATAGCACAAGAAAAGTATGGGAAACTTACGTGGAGGGACTTGAACACCATGCTAAGGAGTTAAGTCCCCGGGTGCCATGGAAGGGTTTTGAGCAGGGTGTTGAAGTAACAGGGTTTGTCTGCTCAGATGACCTGGGAGATCTGTTAGGAGGCTTTGACTGGCCCAGTGAAGAGGAACCAAAGACCTGAGCTAGACTGGGGCACGAGCTCAGAAAGAAGAGGGCGTGTTTGACAGCTGTTACAGAGGCTGACTTAACGGCATTGGGTAACTGAAGAGACCTGAGGTGTTGACTGAGAATAATGGTTCCAGTAACAGAAGGGGGAGGAGGTGGGAATCAGTGTGGGCATGGGAGGCATTAAGTGGTGATGTTCTCTCCGTTTGAGGTGGGAGGCTGACTTTCTGCTCAGGCTGCTCAGTGCAGCAGTTGTGAAAAGTTGGTTTTTGAGAGACTCAGTGTTCCGAGCCCCTTTGAACTCTTCTTCAAAGCTCATGTTAATAACGTGATAATTGTTGACAGTCCAATGACTTAATGTGGTTATTGTCTTATGGTGGCCTTTATGTTGCCTAAAGCAGATGGTTGTGGGACTGTGGTGAGTACACAAGAGAGAAATATGAGTGTTGACGAGTGAAAACAGAGGCAGGGGCATCTTGAGTGTATTTTCAAGTTGCATTGAGGAAGCTGAGTCCTGGGGCTGGTGGCCGGAAGGCTTGCCTCACTTGGCCTGGGCTGGATTAGCAACAAGCCCAGATTTGCAAACACACGTCACCCAGCCCACCTACATGTGCACCTATGGTGCGTCTCTCCGGTGAACGATTTTCAGTGCCTCTACCTGCAAGAGAGAATTTTGCCCAGAATAAATGTAGTGAAGCGTTCCTGACTCACTTATATAAGAGGACTGGACCACAGAAAGGTCACCAGAAAGCCTTGACAAATGATATGACAACAATTATTGAAAACTGAATGGATGCTTACAGTTAGCCTGTTTCAGGTCAAATTAACATTATACTTGTATTTTTTTAAATGGGCTGGAAATTTGCTTTGGGACTCCACACATGGAATCAGATATAATAAGAAAATGCTCACGTTTCAGTAGTACTTGGAATTTTACAGATTTAGAGTTATAGCTTTGCCTGTGACTTTTTCAGTTAATGTTGATAGATTTTTCATGCTGATTCCTAAGGAACAAGTCTTTATATAATCCTAATTCCAGTGAAAATGTACTGCGCCTCGATGGATCATCTGTTATATAATGTGACCTAAGTTTCACAGGGCTGCCTTTTTCGTTAATGTAAACAATATATTGCACACAGAAGGCTATTCCATAATGCTTGAGATTTACTTTATAAAAAGTGCATTTATAGAAAATTCTGAGTTTGAAAAATAACTTAATATACCTAAGCAAGCGTTTTGCTTTAGGTATATTTAAGGCAAACACATGAGCTATATTTTAAACACATTAGTAGAATGTGCTTGACTATGTACTTCTTAGTTTGAATTCTTTTTGTTCTAGTTCAGGATGTTTTGACCTTCTTGGGAGATTTAAAATTGCTCATAAAAGCATTAAGACTTTGATTAGAAATTGAAAATCATGCCTTGAGTTTTATGGCCGTATTGAAGATGCTACTCTGAGATGAAACAGGAGTTTATTTCTGATAGTTAGTCTTGGGCCAGCCTCAACCAGGCTTCGTTTAGGGTTTGTGTTTGTAGTGTCATGAGCTACAGCTTTAAAATAGGTGAATTCAGGGTATTGGTTTAAGCCTATGGGGCCAAATGGTTTGAATTTGCATGGTATCTATTTAAAACACGAACAATTTCTAAATTTTTCTCATGCAAACTGTAATGAGGCAAACTCCATGGTTATTAGTTTCCTCAAGAATTCTCTGCCCCCGCCCCCCCCCCCCCACCCGCCCTGTCTTGTTCATCTTAACTCTCATCTCGTGGATTTTTTGGGGGGAGGGGGTTGTTTCTGTGTTTCTCTCTCTGTTTCTCTTTTTATTGCTGGATTCTTTGTTTCAAGGAAGAAGCATATTTTCTGTTCCCAGTGTTCTCTGCAGAAACTTTATGCCCTGCTTTTGCATTGCATGTCACCTGAGAGATGGCAGAACACAGCAGGCAGCAAAGCTGTTCGTTTCATCTGTCTTTTGGGGAAGATGAAAACTGAGTTTTTGGCAAACAGATCTCAGGGTGACTTGATATTTTCCAAATGGGTTAGTGTAACCCAGGGACCTAACTTGAGTTCTGGTAACGACAGCTTTACCGTCCAATTTTCCTTGGAGTATAGCTTTTGAGAGTGAGAAACCTCTTAAAATGGAGAGCTTTTACAGATTTATTAATCAGATATTGATAGAATTACACCATCTGTCCCAATATGAATATTTTCCAGTAAGCCAATGAGAACCTTCTCTTTTTTAAGATTAATGTTGGTGGGGAAGAGATTTTCCATCTTCAGATTGCATCCTTTATTGTGTTAATTTCCCCCAGGACCAAAGCCTAACCTTAATAAAGGATGGGGGGGAGGGGGTTCTCTCAAATAAAAATAGCAGCAATTGGAAACATATTGGAGGAAACCACAGCTTTAACAAAAAAGCTTTAGCAAATGATTTAAAGGTTGTAAAGTTCATTTTTCTAAAACCAGTAGATATCATTTAAGCTTAGTGTTGATAAACTATTTTAAGGTAAAGATACTATCTCAACTATAGCATAGTATCCACAGATAGATGTACCCATTTTGCTGTGTTTGTTTTTTGTTTTTTTCTTCTCATAAGTCATATTTTTTCCCATTTGGACCTTTTATGTCTGAAATGCCAGGAACTCTTCTTGTTCGCTGTCCGTTCTTCATAGTTCTTTTAATTACTGCTTGATCTTGCAGAACCTGAGTTGTAAAGAGCTGGCTAAAAATAGACTTGTCACTGTAAGCACCTCCTCACATCTGCTTTTTTCTGGGTCCCTGCAAGGTTGACCAGCTTTTTCTTTTTTTTTCTTTTTTTTAGTTGCATATCAAAAACAGTTGGAGGAATAACAGCATCTGTGTAGTCAACATTTCCAGTGTTAGAAGATGATGTTGGATTTTAACCTTTTTTTTCCCCCCCACCAAATCTGTGCGTTCAGAGCAGTGGGAATTGTCAGAGGTGGGCAGGGGCAGGTAGCCATTTAGAGGCTGATCAGGTCCTGGTGAGCCTGCGCTGTTGTCCATCGCACCCTCTGCAGGGTTTACAAAGAGACACAGCACCCCTTGGGCGAGCCTGCGGGGCATCATTTTCTGTGCTTAATCGTTTGACTTGCCGAGGGTGCACTAGGCATGAGTGGGTGGAGGAGTCTAGAGTCGACCCGTCTTAGGGGTTTGCTCAGGATCCAGTTCGGGAAGCACCCGTTTGGTGTTCAGAGTGGGGTTTTGGTTCCGGGTTCTGCTGCTTTCTAGCCGAATTGCCTTGGTCCAGGAACCTTGTTGTGACATAAAAAGTGGGGGTGATCATGCCTGCCTAACGCATGTGAAGGCCTGGGATACAGCGTCTGTGCAAAGAAATGCATTTGAAGGGAAAACGAGGGAGCAGTGTCATCTTAAACCAAATAAAGCGCGAGTTCCTTCATTGTGTTTCAATAGCTTTTACTTAATCTCCCCTGGGTTCTGAACACAGCAGGCCCTTGCACACTGTTTCTTCCAATCCCTGCCATGGACCAGCAACCCTCCACTTGAGATGTCCAACGAGCGCCTGGGGACTGTTGAAAACCCCACTTGTCTTGTGTCCACTGGGTTTCTGTTACTCCTTTTTGAAGGTTGGAGTAAATTATTTTTTTGTATTTTCTCTTCCAACTTATTTAATTGCATAAATAAGAGGCTTTCCCCCTCTTGGTTTTTAAGAAAGATGGTAGGAGGTGTGATGTATGATCTCATTATAGGAAGATAATGAATTATTTTTGCCAAAGCATGTTCTCTAGAACATTGGGAAACAGCATCCAGAATAATTTAGGAAGTATGTGTTGTGATTGTAACATTTATTTCCTCTCTACACACATTATGTAACTCTGAGTAAACTGTGTAATTCATTTACTGACAGTACAAAATTTCTTTTTTAATTTATTAATTTTTATGCCTATGGTTCTATGTTAAAAAGTAAGTTTCCTTCCTTCCTCATTCCCTAGCCTCCCAGTTCCTCTCTACAGAGGCAACCACTTAATGTTTTTTAAAATTGAAATCCATGTAATCATGGTTTGATGCTCGTAATGTATTTGTCCTTTCATCTCTCGGCCTTTGGTTAAGATCGAGTGCCTGTGTGTGTGTGTGTGTGCAGTGTAATTGCTGGTTCTAAGTTAGGGGACCGGCGAGCAGCAGTTACTAGGCACACGTTGGGCATATATGAGCAGAGGTGAGCAGCGTCGCTCTTGCGGTGATGTCTCTCCGTGTAACCAGCCTCTGGAGCCGGGGTTTCCACAGCGTCTGTGTGTGTTTCACTTTCCAGTTGCAGCATGAGAAAGCCGAACTGGAGCAGCACCTCGAGCAGGAGCAGGAATTCCAGGTCAACAAACTGATGAAGAAAATTAAGAAGCTGGAGAACGATACCATTTCTAAGCAGCTGACCTTAGAGCAGGTAAGCATGGAAAGCTCTCGCCACACATTTCCCCCCTCACGGCACCCACTGTTCTTTCAAGCCTGAGGGTGCCATGAGGACTTGCAGGGAAGAACACTTCTCAGCTCTTCTTCCCACGGGGAGACTTCGTTTCTGAAGGAAGCACTGAAGGTCTGCACAGCACCCGCTCCCTCTCACGCACACTTTCTCTTTCTCTAACCGCCGTGAATAAACCTTGAGGAGATGTTGTGTTGTTCTGATTGACAGGCAGGCAGGAAACGTTAGGTTCCTATTTGCAAAGGGGGAAGAATGTGTTTTTAACCACAGGATAGTTTCTGTGAAAGTTCCCGAGACAGTGTTGCTTCTATTTCAAGGGTTTTTCAGAACAAACGTTAGCTTTTTTTTTTTTTTTTTTTTTTTTTTTAATTACTAGCAACCGTATATGAACTCTGTCTTCTCCCACCTAGATTTGTGAGTTCAGATATGGAATCAGAGTCTCGGTTGCTCACCTGATTCAGCCACTAACTAGTTGTATGGCCTTGAATTAACTTCATTTCTCTGGCCCAACTTTTCCATTTGTAAACAGAGAAGGACACACTAAATTCAGGAATGCTAAGCTTAGAAAGGTGCAGAAGGAAGACAGAAACAGTGCACAATCCCTTTGTCCATTGCCCTTGGCAGACGTTGGTATTTGGTTGAGCCCTTGCCCGAGGAGTCCAGACTGGCTCTTAGACTCCAGCACGTAGAACTGTGGGCAGCGGTGATTGGTCCACACAGGTTGGTGTGTCAGACAAAGTTACCTGTCAGTCCCTGGCCTACATCCTCCTTCATGCTTTCCCCACTATAGTGTCCTGAAATGTTATTTCCCCTGAGACAAATAAGAGGCTGATCACAGTGTCTGTTATCTGGTTTCCATGTAAAATTCAGTATATTGATTAACACCTTCCAGCTCTTTGTAATATGGATCCCGATTGCCAGTTTGATGATTTGTCTAACCCTTTCATGCAAAGTGGTCTGATTTATCCCATCTCTAGGCTCTCTGTGTGTATCTTTCTGTGTATCCATGCTGACTGGTTCTTAAGTCACCTCAGAACTGCACTAGCTTCTTCATTATGCCTGCGAATGAATGGTGATGGGAATGCGAGGTTTGAGAAGTCAGGGTTTGTTTGAAACTCACCTAGCTGACTTTGCATGTTATTCTTGACCCTACCTATATGTCAGAAGTAAGAATGTGACTGGGTTTTCCAAGACTATGAATAATGGCCCTAAAAATATTTTCTCTGTCCCTTTCAGATAAAAGAAAAAAAAAGTTCCATTCCCAAGGTTTTGCTATTTTATACGTATTCAGAGTAATCTATTTTTACCACTTATCTTCAGAATTCAGGTGCAATATCTAAATTTAGAAGGCTTCCCCCCCCCCGCGACTAGCCCCCCAGTTTAAAAACATTTTGTTCTAAAGTTCACCTGTTTAATTCTCAGGGTAGGCAATAGCCAGTTAGTTCTATTCAAGTTAAAGCTTTGAAGATTCTTGTTAAGTCCCTGATACACCAAGTACTTGTTAGTGGTACTCGTTAATAAATAATTAACCAAATGACATTCTCACAGTAGTTGGTACTGCGAGAACTTCACATGGCCATGGCCTTCACAGTGAAGGTGGTCAATAATGGAAACGGCTTTGCTCTTGTGTTTGTTCACAGGCTCCTAAGGAGATCTTGGGTTGAGGCCTGTAACCCCCAGGGTGGCCACAAGGGGGAGGTAGTAGCCTAGTGTCAGAGAGAGAAGGGCAGTCTCATCCCAGAGTCCCTGAGAGAGGATGGCTTGCTGCACCCCCTTACGACTCTTTAGTGGTTTCACTGACTGAACCCCTTTAAAATGAGGCCCAAGGCACACATTCTCTCTGAGCTAATGACTTAGTGCATTTTTAGGTAATTTCAGACCTCAACAGTAAAGAGGTGGATTTCCACAACGGAATACGTGCTTTGCTAAGACCTGTACCAGAAATAAACCTCAGATCCCGGATATCAAGTTCCTGTTTTAATTAACATGGAGAAATTGAACATAATCATAACCCCCCCCCCTTTGTTTTGGACATGTTCAGGATGAGTAAATGTTGGAGATTTTACTCTATTTTGCTTCGCTATAAATTATTGTAGTCAGTGTTTAGGGGAAATGTTTATTTTTTTCCTTGGGTGGAAATAAATCTGTTTTATGTTTCCTTGGATGTGATCTGCCTCTCTGTGGTCATCTCTTGGGATCATCATCTGTATTATATTATATACAGTATGTCGTAATCTATGTTATATAATGTATCCTGTATTATGCATTATTACCGGAAGAGCAAAGGCATGTACTATACTATGCTTTATAATGATTAGTGTGTGGTGCATGCCTTTGCTCTTCTATCTGACAAATTAAAATTAGAAGCTATTTGAAGGTGATTTTCAAGGTGCCTTATGCCCTACGTGCTTTGCTGGAAGAAGTATGGATTTGGACAGGTGACTGAGGAGTGGTCTTTTCTATTTTGGAAGGCAGTTCAGTATAGTGTTCAGGGCCTGGGCACATTGCTTGTAGGAAACCAGGTGTGAACTGTTTCCTCTGCTCAATATCTTATTTCCCTTTTTTTATTGTAGCATCTTTATTGAGATAAAATTCACATACCATATAAATCACCCATTTAAAATGTATAATCCAGTGGTTTCTAGCATATTCGAAGTTGTATAATGATAATCACAATCAGTTTTAGACCATTTCATCAGCTCAGAAAGAAACCTTGCACCCTTCAGCTGCTACTCAATCGCCTCTCCCCCTTAAGCAAGAACCACTCCACTATCTGTCTCTGTATACTTGCCCATTCTGGAGACTTTATATACATGGAATCATATAGTACGTGGTCTGTTGTGATTGTGATTGGCTTCTTTCACTTATATAATGTTTTTATCCATGTTGTAGCATGTGTCGGTACTTCATTCCTTTCCTGGCCATATAACGTTCCGCTGTATGGGCATACCATATTTTGTTTATCCATTCATCATTTGATGTTCGTCTGTGTTGTTTCAGCCATTTGGTTGTAAATAATTCTGCTGTGAACGTTCATATACGTATTTTGTGTGGGCATCTGTTTCATTATTCTTAGATGTATCTCTAGGAGTGGGATTGCTGTGATGTCTCTGTTTGCCTTTTACAGGGATTGCTAGACTGTGTTCCAAAGTGGCTGCGCCACACTGATGATGAAGTGGTATCTCCTGGCGGGTTTATAGTTCCCTGATGGCTAATGATGTTGAGCATCTTTTCAGGTGCTTGTTAGCCATTTGTGTATCTTCTTAGAAAAAAAGTCTATTCGAGGTCTTTTTATCATTGAATTCTAAGAGTTCTTGATATTCTAGATACAAGTGCCTTATCAGGTATATCATTTCTGTGTGTGTGTGTGTTTCACTTTCTTGATCGTGTGCTTTGAAACATGGAAGTTTTAAATTCTGGTGAAATCTAATTTATCTATTTCTTTTGTTGCTTTTGCTTTTGGTGTCATATTTTAGAATCTATTTCCAAATCGGAGTTCATGAAGATTTATCCCTCTGTTTTCTTCTAAGAGTTTTATACTTTTGGCTCTTACATTTAGGTTTTGATCCATTAGAGTTATTAATTTTTGTGTATAGTGTGAGGTAGGGGATCCAAATTCATTCTCTTGAGCGTGGCTATCCCATTGTCCCAGTCAGTTCACTTTTGAGCCTCAGGTTCCTTATCTATAAAATGGCAATGGTAGCAAACTTATGTTAGATGCCATGAATGAAAGAGAGTGTAAGGTGATTCACACAATGCTTCCTGTATAAGCACTCAACATAAGTTGGATGCTGCTGTTAATTTTTAAATAATCCATATTTTGAACCTAATGGGTTGCATGTGCAGAAGGAATATTGGAAGGCCTTCTACCATGGATTTGTGTTGGCCATAACATGTTTGTTTTAAAGGTATAGTGTGGATTGTAATGGCTTTTAAGTAGGTGTGGGGAGCTGATATAGGGTTAAGCCTCGGACTGACCTGTTGGCAGTCACAAACAGGTCTTCCGAGTCTTAACCCAATCCGAGAGGTGGCCTCTGATTTACACATGCTATCATTTAAAAAAATAAAAAAGGGGGAATTTGCCGGAAGCCAGTCCATCCTTGCTGCTTGACACAGTCGCTGCAGGAAGAAACATCTGCACAGCATATGTTTCAAGGGACCTGGCGTATATGGCATACTGTTCTTAATATGTTTGCTCCCCTTCTTAGCGCTATGTGTTTTAACCAAGGCCACCTCTCTGGGAAAGGTTGTTTCCCCAGGTTCGGATTTTTCCCTGGAGTTAGGGATTAACAGGACTAAGGAAGGGGATCAGTAAAACCCCTTAACTAAGTGCCAGGAGGGTAGTTAATCACTTTAACTACGAACAGTCACGCTTAAGCTACATAATCTTTACTTAGGATAATCTCCTTCAGTTACTTCCTTGTATCTTAACAGAATAGAGTAGTGACCTTGGAATGGAGATAACAAATGCCCTAACCTTTGGAATAGAATGGATAGGATTAAAATCAAATGGTATAAATACAGATATAACAGGAGAATAAAGAGAGAACTTCACTATGCTGATCAACTGAACGCTGCCTCTGTGTCATTCCTTCTTTGCCGACTCCGTCCACACCTTTGGGAGTCCCTGGACCTGCTGGGGCAGGACCCCAACAAGTAGGCACCTGCCCACTCCCTGTTAACAGGGTTTGAGACTCCGTCTTGGACTGTTTTTGAAAGTAGGCCCCAATTAACTCACAAGGCAGAAGGCCCTCCTTGTAAATTTCTCTCCAAAAGTCAGGCCTTCGCATGGACACTTAGTCAGATAGCATTTATTCTCCTCGTAGACCCAGAGCCTGGGATCCTTTCATTCTTCAAGTAGGGAATGTTAAGCTCCATCATCAAGGTCTCTGTGCTATAAATGGTCTGTTCTGTTGGTGTTTTGCAATATATGAATCCATAGGATTTTAGACCTGGAAAACTAA